TTTCACCAATCGTTTTAAATGTTCTCTTAATGCAATTTGTTTCTCTTGAAAACTTCTCTTTGCTTTACGACGAACTTTATGCTTGATCATTTGAAATGTTTTATTTTTTAATTTTTCACGATTTGTTGTACTAGCATGTGCATTTATTCGATTTACCTAATGGGGAAAACAAAGAAGTGAGAAATGATAATAATAACTAAACGATGCAGATGGAAATAAAGTTGGATGGAGTATTTTGAAATGATGAGTGAATCATTTGTTTTAACACCGTTGGAAACCTGGAATCACTGAAAGATGGCCGTTTCGTCCTGGTATGCGACTCATCATTAGCAACGCTTACCGACAACTCCTGCATCTCACAGGATTCGAACCCAGGACCTTGCGGGCGAACTCTTAAACTTTGAACCACTGGACCAGTATCCAGCGATGTTAATGTCTAACTCTGATCAATCTACGGATTTCGTGTGACCTCACCAATAATTTGTCTTAGGTAGAGTCGTGTATGCATACTGCTGATGAGTCCCATACTAGGACGAAACGGCCGTCTTTGAGTGCTTCCAGGTTTCCTTTAATGATGGTCTAAGAATGATTGATTGATGATTTGAAATGTGTAAAAACACTAATCTCCATAACTTTAATTGGAAAAAAAAAGTTTTTTGAACTGAAAACTGAATCTCTAATAGAGAATGACAAAGATTTACAATGAGTTATTTAAAAAACTGATAAAAGAGTATGCAAATACCAGCTGAACTGCTCCTGTGTAACTATATACACTAACTCATAATCATAGGGTCTTATTTTACAGCGTAGATGAATATTTCCCGAGAAGATTGGGGAAAATTCAATCAACGAATCTATCATGAACGTGATTTTTTTCTTTCTCATTTGGTGAATAATGAACAGTGAACACTACATTTGAATCTATCATTCTTTCTCCGCTGTTATGTCAAGTCCCAAAAACATTCTATCGGAAGTAGTAAAATGATCATGCTTTCTCTTCGCAAATAAGTTTTCGAGATCAACAACTATAGGAAACTGAAAAAAAAGGCATTTTCCGTCATGTTTTTTCACGATTGGATCATCACCTTACTACATAAGCTACATATTATAAATATATACCCCCGTAAATTTACTGCTATACTCTATTCTTAATTTTACATGAATTTCTTATCAACATGATATTTACACGACTCACTTGATTATATTACTGAGAACTACTAATCTTACTACATGGCTCAAAATCGTTCGCAATGGCGCCGGTGCATTTATTCTTTGTGTTCTCTCAAAACCTAATCTTCTGGATTCTTCAACCCCTCTAGTTTTGACTTTCTAAACTTTTCTCATTGAATCATACTTCTTGAATAATATCTTCTAATCCTAACCTCTTCGATTACTTCTAGCACCTTTACTACCTCTTCTACTATTGGATTTGAATTGACAATTATATCTCTGTGTGCTAATGTGGTATGGCGACATGAACTGATGTACTTCCGTACGAAGTTCTACGTTGCATCTGACTGACTGACTGACTTACTACCCGCTTAGGTGAAATGACATTTTTTTTCAACTTTACGATAAGTAACAAATTTTTAGACGTAACCACGCAGTAATCGACTTTATAAATTCACTTAGTATAATCACATTTAATATTGTCAGTAAGCTACAACATAGAAATTAGTAAGTACGTACAACAGTTTAAGTTGTCATCATTACCATAATTAGCACAGAGAGGTTAAATTGTCTATTCAAATTTCCATAGTAGTAGTAGTAGTAGAGGCAGTAGGAGGTATTAGCAGTAAACAAAAAGACAATGGATCGAAGACATCATTCAGGAAGTATAATTTAAAAGCAGAAAAAATGTGTTATGAGGAATTCAGAAGATTATAATTTGAGAGAACACAAAGAATGGATGCATTTGCATCATTGCAAACGATTTTGAGTTATGTCATTTAAAGCCTCCGCTGCCTCGCGGATCCCAACAAGGTGGTACTCTATACCTACTAACATGAATCAATCCAGTTGCCAATGACTTCACAGACTGATGCCATCTTTTAGTTTGGTCGCCCCTAGCTCTCCTCAACTCTACTTCAACATCAAACAACATCACTCAATCGTCAAGGCAGTCGGTGGTTAGACATACGTAACACATGTCCCAGCAACCTCAACTGATGAAGTTTCACCACTTCATCGATTAATCTGCCATCCTTACCTAGTACTCGTTTCCTAACGACAGCATTGCTTACTCGGTTGTCCCACGGTATACGAGCAATGCTTCGAAGACATGTATGATCGAAAATCAGTAACGCACAAATATCCTCAACTCTTACTGGCCATGTTTAACACCTGTATAGTAGGACGGAGGGAACTGCTGTGCAGTACATTCATCCTTTAGTCACCAAACGGATATCTCGCCTACGCCATAAGTGACGCAGGTTGGCAAAAGCCAATCGAGCTTCCTGTATCCGTGCTGAGATTTCGTCAGTCACCAGGCCATTAGCACTGATAAGACTCCCAAGATAAGTGAAGAGGTCAACACGCTCAATTACTTCATTTCCAATCACTAGTTCAAGTGCCGATACAAGCTAATCCTGAAACAACATTTTGCATTTCAAGGGGGAGAATCACATCTCCAGTATCCTTGGATTGTTGCTTAGGGTAGTCAGAAGACTCTGCATTTTGTCAGCGTCTTCACCAAATAGAAATATATCATCGGTATACTGTAAGTCAGCAAGCATGTCTCCTCGTAGAATGTCCACCGCAGAAAAGTCAGACGATCACAAAATATCATCTCTAAAAGCATATCGACGACAAAATTAAATAAGAATAAAGATTGTGGACAACCCTGACAAACACCACTTGAAGTAACCAATTCCAATAACAGTTCGCCGTCATAAGTTCTCACTCGACCTGTTGTGTACGAGTAGAGAGAATGTACAAGCTTAATGTACTTTGTCGGCACACCTTTTATAAAAAACTGAAAAATATACATCTGTACTGGTTAATTTACCTTAAAACCATATTTTTCTCTTCCAATACGACCTTCTTCAATAGATTCCATTCGATCAGCTTTTGTTTGATGTGGACGTTTCACTAAACGTGTAATTGCACTCATACTCACAAGATTGCCTAGACTACCGTCTTTATTTTGTATACCAATACCAGTAGTATTTGCATCATCTTCATCCGAATCAGAATTCACAATAAAATATGAATCGGAATTGTCAAGTTTATGTTTATTACGTAATGAACTGTACGATGCAAAACGTTTCTAAATGTCGAAGTACACAAAAAAATAAAATAAAATAATGATTGAGAAAGTGAGATGAATGATGAAAATGAATTCTATGCAAAAAAATAAATAGTCAGCATAAAGTTGTGGAGATTGAAATCATGAATGGATCAAAATGAGACAACCGTTGGACACACCTACCTAGAAGCTAAACACACATTAACATATTATAGCCCATTTAGAGATGATTAAAACTATCCTATGGAATGGAATACTTGAATCGCTTATATTGCAAAAATTATATCGTTACATTCAGTCTAATTCTAAGTGAGTTGAAGAAAATTCCACCTTGAGCCCTTCTTCTTCTGAGGTTACTGCCAGGTCTAGGCCCAGATAAAGGAGGAGGGTTGGGCATCAAGTTAGCGACCCTATCCCGCAGAAAACGAACTCGCTGGACATTATTTAGAAGAATTATGACGCCTTATGATGAGAACCGAGTTTCTTCGGAAGTCACAAGGCCGATGACTCTACTGAAGGAAGGCCTATGACAGAGTTGATTGGAAAATCCTGGTCCTGGTCGGCCCATGCTCCACATTAGGGGTAAGGAGCTTAAGTAAGTAAGTAAGCAAGACTTGAAAAAAAAAGTATCACCAAATAGATTGCAGACAGAACAAGAAAGCTAACAATTTGTTACCCACGAACATTCCTAATAATGTCACTCTTACTCAGGGTTTTTTAATTGTTTCATTATGTGAGCAAACGTAATTATTTTCTTCAATGATCCTCATGTCGTCCAGACCTATGCAGATAATTCTTGTGTTTATGATTCGGCTAGCATTTTATTGGAATTCAAGCAAAGCTTCAGAAAAAAGGTAAGATCTGAAATGTCTACGGAGAAGACTTTCAGTTTTGATACTCGTTATCGAGATGGTGGAGAACTTCTACCTGAAGTTCGTGCTGATGATGTTGTTCAGAAGAACAATGAAAGCTCCACAACCAAAACAACCAGCTCAGAGAACGAAACACCACCACAATACTCGTTATTCACATAAGTTTATTAGCAAAAAAAACTCTCACATCATGAACATAACGATTAAAATGAATTTTCATCTGATGAAAATACCTGTTTTGTTTGTTGATATTTACGCATTGCTTCAAATTCCTCTTGTGTAAATACACGTGAAGCTGCTATCTCTAAAGCTTTTTCTTTCAAAACACTCGGATCTATTTTCGGTTTCTTTGCAGAAGCATTCTCATCATTAGATTCATCGATTTCAATGTTTTGTTCATCATCATCTTCTTCTTCTTCCGAAGAATTAGATAAATTTACCCATTCGCCATCTGAATTATCACTTTCTTTGTCCGCGCATGTTTCCTCCTCAGACTCTTCATCATCAGAGCATGATTCCCATGAATCATTTTCTTTAAGATTGATTAAAACATGAAAATAAAAATTAAGAAGACCAAATTTACTTCAACTATTTTTTTAGTAAACATTTTTTCATAAGTAGCTTAAAATTGTTGTATAAAATATTGACCAATCTAGTGAACATGGCGATATGCATTAGTTCGGACAAATGAATGGAGTTATCGAGATTTTTCAACAAAATCAACATAATAAAAGTGGAATGACACATTTAATTTCCTTTTTTTTTCAAAAATTAATACCTTCAGTGTTTAAACATGTCTCTGAATTGTTTAAATTTTTGCTGGACTTTTTAGAAGATTCTTTTTTATTAGCATTTAATTTTTCTGAAGCTAAGGCAATTATTTCAGCTCCAGGAACAGTTGCAGAAGTGGTACATTGTCCGAAATTAATTGCCACATCTTGAGGTATATCATATTTTATTACATCCAATTGTGATTCCGTTAAACGTCCACATTCTTTACGTGGTAACATTTCAGGATTTATCTAAAAATGTAAATAATATTTTAGAAAATAAGAAGAAATGATATTAGATTCTAAATATTCGATGAGTAGTCAAGTTGAAACTATTAAAAATTCTATGTTAAAACATCAACCAACTTATAAGAGAATACAGTTTGAGGAGTCATTGGGGTAACATTTGGCTGCAAAAGGAAATAATTTGAATTGTGAAACGGTAAGTCGATTGAAAATAGTTAGTAAGTCATACATTAATCAATGACCAATGAAATAACCGGTATATTGCAGTCAAGTGGTGGTGTAGTAAAGGAGAACACAGGTGAAGGCAACCGAATTGTATTTAATGAAAAATTACAGAGTTACTCAGTCAATAAAATAGGAAAACCATATCGTAAATCGTTCATTTTTGCAAAATATCAGTTCATCATATCGAACTGGACTGTTCCTGTTGCAAAACATCAATCCATTGTCACTCACTATTCATGCGTTTCATACAAATTCCATTGTGTTCTTCTAACTCTTCCTTTCTTGATCTTCCCTCATCTTCTGCTGCTGCCAGACATTACGTTGACACTCACGTCATATACTACTTATAAGTAGCGCGCACCACAGTGGTGTATCAATTGCTTTAAAGCCCTATCCTTTTAACCAATATACGTGTGAAGTTCATGCCCCAGTTTCAGTATCCTCGGTTGTATAGACCTGTACATAGTGAATTACATGATTATTTTGCAATGGTTTGGACTTTTCCTTGATAAACATTCATCATGTTAATGTAACCCACCCGTTTATAAAACCAATATACCTTACTGAAATTATTTCCAAAAACAGACTGGCGTATTTGGGACTTTCAGTCACACTCTCTAAGTGTGATGAGTAATGATATTACTCCTTTGCCTAAACCTAAGTAGATGGATCGCAGTTATCATTCAAAAACTTTATTTATTGGGTCACAACTTAGAAGACTGTAATGACAGCAAAGATTGACCAATTCAATACTAAATGTTGACAGCGAATGATCACAAACTATGACAACGAAACATAATAATAATCGATGGCTAGAGACCTTGAATGACATGGCTCGAAACCGTTTGCAATGGCGCCGGTGCATTTATTGTTTGTGTTCTCTCAAATCCTAATCTTCTGGGTTCTTCAACTCCTCTAGTTTTTACTTTCTAAACTTATCTCACTAAATCATACTTCGTGAATAATATCTTCTAATCCTAACCTCTCCGATTACTTCTAATACCTTTACTGCCTCAACTACTATTGGATTTGAATTGACAATTATATCTCTGTGCTGATGTAGTATGGCGACATGAACTGATGTACTTACGTACGAAGTTCTACGTTGCAACTGACTGACTGACTGATGACAACGAAACAACAACGATAAGTGTAGTAATTAGAACAGTCAACTTTTAACCACCAAGTAACAGTTTCGAATGTTGCTTCATCTTTACGAATTGAAATATTGAAACTTCATCAGTTGAGGTGGTTGGGACATGTGTTACGTATGCCTAACCACTGACTGACTCATCGAGCTATATTTTACGGTGTAGGAATAGTTTGGACGAAAGCTAGATGCGGCTAGACCAAAACATGCCACAAATCCATGAAGTCACTGACAAGTGGACTGAGTCATGTCGGTAGGTGTCGACTACCTGGTTGAGGTCCACGAGATGTTAGTAATCGATGGTTAGAGACCCTGAATGACATGGTTCGGAATCGTTTACAATGGCGCAGGTGCATCCATTCTTTGTGTTCTCTCAAATCCCAAACTTTTTAATTCTTTCTAAGTCTATTTCACTAAGTTCTACTTCTTGAATAATGTCTTCTAATCCTAACTTCTCCGATTACTTCTAATACCTTTACTACCTCTTCTACTATTGGATTTGAATTGGCAATTACATCTCTGTGCTAATGTGGTATGGCGACATGAACTGATGTACGTACTTACGTACAAAGTTCTACGTTGCTACTGATTGATTGATTTTACGAGTTTAAACAATCAGGTCGTTTTATTACTATTCAAATACAGAAAAAAATGACTTAATACCAAGTACACATAGTTGTACTTGGCTATCAGATTGCTACTGTTTTTACCATCTACCACCATACAAATAAAACAGTAATTCATAACTTCATATGTACTCACTTGACGATACAATCGTATAACAGATCGAGCTGCAGCAACCACATTCTTATTTCGATATGATCGATATTGAATTAAATCAGATAATAAATCTTTTGTAACTGCATATGGACAACGTGCACATATTTCACGTACTGAATTCAATCCAACTGCTATTGCTTCCGAAGAAGCACGTTCTGTAATGAAATTATCAGCAATCACTCGTACTAACGGTTCCATTACCTAAAATAAGGAATATATATTTGTGAAATAACAATTATTTTTGTTATTATTTGAATTCATCAATCAATCATTGTTAAGCCAACATTAGAAACCTGGAAGCACTGGACGGCCGTTTCGTCCTGGTATGGGACTACTCATCAGCAGTGCACATCCACGACTCCTGCACCTCGCAGGATTCGAACCCGGGACCTTCCGTATTGTGCGCGAACGCTTAACCATCGGACCACTGGGCGTGTAAAAACACAAAACCTCCAAAACTTTGTTATTATTTAGAAGAGACAAGGAAAAAGTACAAAGCCTGCGTTTGTTTTACTCGCTGAAGTTCAGATCTGTTGGCCAAACATCAACAGTAACAACCTACTATGAGAGAGAACAAACCAGATTCCATCTGAGGAAGAAATTAGGAAAAAACGCTGGAGGTGGACAAGACACATTGCAAAAATCATCCGACTGCATCACGAGTCAAGCCCTTACTTGGAATCCTCAAGGTCAAAGTGTAGTGAACGAGAACACAGGTGAAGGCAACCGAATTGTATTTAACGAAAATTACAGAGTTACTCAGTGTAAAATCGGAAAACCATATCGTAAATCGTTCATTTGCAAAATATCAGTTCATCATATCGAACTGGACTACTGTTCCTGTTGCAAACAACATCAATCCATTGTCACTCACTATTCATGCGTTTCATACAAATTCCATTGTGTTCTTCTAACTCTTCCTTTCTTGATCTTCCCTCATCTTCTGCTGCCAAACATTACGTTTTTACTCGTGTCATATACTACTTATAAGTAGCTCACACCACAAAAGGAAGAGAGGAAAACCGAAGAATTCATTGCGACGAGAATTAGAGATACAGACACGAAAAGAATGTATAACGATTGAGAGTAATTGTAAAGGAGATCCTAGGACAGAGTTAGTTGGAGAATTCTAGTCGACCGCCTATGCTCCATGAGAGGTAACAAGTAAATAAGCAATCTACCCACATCCATCTCTGGCTCAATTGTGTATCAGTGCTGCTTTACGCTTATTAGTAATACAGTCGGATATGTCTCTGTATATAAGTACATGTTTGAAATACATCATTTACATACTAAAGGCTAATCCATTGTGTTGTAGACTGAATGGGGTAGGGCAGGGAAGAAGGTATCTGGATCTGTTTTGGCGTGTCATTAGTCGACTGGGGGACAAGTTCGTAAAATCAAAACATTTTGGTGTTTTGTTCGTGTCACGCGATACCGATAAACGGCTAAAGACAGAACAGAAGGAATTCCTAAACGATATTTACACCTATGGCTTGTAACATCTTACTTACACATACGGAGTCAAGCACAAAATCTTCTCACACTAACCAATCTAAATTCAGAAAACCAAATTTCGAACTACATAAGACATTTTTGTTCTTCCGAAATTCTAGAGCCCACGTGCACCATTGGTTAGGAGTCAGGGTTCTCAACTCACATAGGTGGATCCTCTCTATCCAACAACCTGGGTTGAGCGCTGAGTATTCGGTTTTCGTTATCTCAATTTCGTAACACCCTCTCTACGAGAAGGCAGTGAGTAGAACTTCCTTGATGATGGCTATTTAAGGCGTGGCCGTACGAGAGGACTTTGGAAAGGAGAGTGGACTCTCCCTGCCCTCAACCTTACCACGACCTTCATTACCAACACGACCATCATACGAATTGATAGAACTACTAACTTTTACAGTAAATTAGTATGAAAATTCATATCATATTTGAATCGAAGCACAAATCTTATGTTCTACATTGCTTATAACTAGCTGATATATTACCAATAATAAAAAACTCAATTGAAAACTTACATCAGGTGGAACTTGGTCATGACTAGCCTGAGCTGAGAACAATAATAAATGAGTTACATCTAAATAGACCAAAATAGAAATGATTGAAAGGTTAATTGATAGGATTGACAATAAATTCTAGTACAGGTTAATAAAGAATTTTGCTGAGAATTCATGAATCTAACCAGCATTAACCAAATAAATTTCTTTTGTATGATAGGGTTGTGGAGACTGTACAGTAGTTACTTTTTGAAATCATAAATCGATCAATGTTAGACCACCATCAGAAACCTGGAAGTTAGTCAGTTGCAACGTAAAACTTCGTACGTAAGTACATCAGTTCATGTCGCCATACAACATCAGCACAAAGATGTAATTGTCAATTCAAATCCAATAGTAGAAGAGTTAGTAAGGGTATTAGAAGCAATCGGAGAGATTAGGATGAGAAGATATTATTCAAGAAGTATGATTCAATGAGAAAAGTTTAGAAAGTCAAAAGTAGAGGGGTTGAAGAATCCAGAAGATTAGAATTTGAGAGAACACAAAGAATAAATGCACCAGTGCCATTGCAAACGATTGCGAGCCATGTCATTCAAGGTCTCTAACCATCGATTATTATCATCTCGCGGACCCCAACCAGCTAGTCGACAATTACCAACATGGCTAAGTCCACTCGTCAATGACTTCATGGATTTCTGCCATGTTTTGGTTTGGCCGGCCCTATTCCTACGCTACAAAACAAAGCCCGACCGAAGCTGCTACCTTGACGTGGTGGTCGGGCTTGCCTATCGTGATGACCCAACCGAGCTATACTGGCTGGAACATATGTTCCTGCAGGTCCTACCATGCCAGGCTGGTCGATTGGAGAACGATGAGACTAAAAGCAGCTACCCAAGGTCTGAGGGCGAAGTCGTACTGCTGACTGCAGAGGGGTGCGACAGCAGTAAGGTGTTTCCCTCGGACAACCAGCATCTGCAGCGATGCTGCCTTCTCACAAGGAAGGAAGGGTTAGAAAAGGTCGGCCCTAAAAATGTCACACTCCCCCTAACTCACGGATTTCCGTCTCCTTGGGTAAGGGTGCCCACTAAGGGCCTTTAAGAACGGAGCTAATCCTCTAAATACCTCTCATAAAAAGGCCATGCTTGACCGGCCTCAAGCAGTTGTCCCTTGGGCTCTGCGGTCACGCACCAACACTAATCTATCTTCCTTTTCAGGTCCCTCAAGAAACAACCTTCCACGGTGTGGGCAGCCGGGAAGTGACAACCGCCCTCATACCCGTACCAGCACGCGAGACCAAATTGGTCAAAATCAAATCCTTCCTACACCCCCTCATGTCTCTCTTATCTCTACGACTAACTGTACTCACACTCCCTTTTCTCACTGCACCGCTAATGCAGACGAAGCGAGATCACGAAACGTCGTTCCTGGTCTCTTGAAACCCCGTTCTAGACTAC